TATTCATATAAAACCAATGGCCTGTGCCAGTTGATCAACCATTTATGCCGGGTTTAATTTTAATTGGTTTCCCTTCGCCAGGGCAAACTATCAAGAGAGTTATGCGAATTAATATACCAACATATGAGGAAACAAATTACTGAATTTTCTCACCTAGATAACCCCATAGTAAGTCCTTTCTGGCCCCCCGTCAAATTGCTTTCCGCCTCGTTTTTATAACCCTTTCAACTTTGTAGATTTATGTGCCGTTTTTAGGTGGCACCACCTGGCGTTGCCTTTCTTCTACCGGCAATAAAATATATGTATTGTACATATATATATTCGGTTGCTACCAATATATAAAGGGGCAACAATAAAAACACAACTTCATACACGACGTAAATCACTTGGGTAGTTCAAGCCTGGCTGAAATATTACTTGGCCGAGAAGTTAAATACAAAAATAAATACAAAGCCAGAAAAAACACAGCACCGGGCGTGGTCAATTAGAGTAAAAGTTGGGTGTAAGTATTGCCCAGATTGTGGGTTAATAATAAGGGTCGTCGGTTACCCTCCCACATTTGCGAGGCCTATAAATCGCTTCGGCGATAAGCTGCCTTTTTGTCCCATAAATCCAGCAATCTTCACATGAGGATCAAACAATGTTTTTTTTTAAAGTGTCTTTCGTTTACCTCCGAATATGGCTTTTCCCAGATGCCAAATAATACAGGATACTGGCCACCGGGGAACCAGCACGAATGACCTCCTCAGTTTATGACTGGCTCGCTCACATTTCACTTTGCAGGAAGCTTCCGGTCAGAAAATATAAGCTTGGTTTTTATTGTTATGAAGTTTTCGGACAGAATAGGAGTCGTGGAAAGGGTTTTTCGGTCTTAAAAGTTACATTTTAAATAAAATTACTAATTTATTCTTTAATAATAATTCATTTAGAGATGGTTAATATTATTGGTTGAGAAAACTTTTCTTAGAAAATACTAAAGAATAAAATAAACTATTTTATTTATTTCTATCTCGCTTGCAAAATATAATTTTACATTTATAAACTGACTAAGGAATTTTTTTAAATATGTTTCATTTTCTCTTTACTGTTTGTTTCCTTGCTAGATTTATAAATATTTAATGTCTTTACTTGGCCAACTTTCTCATTTAACCCATGTACCCTTTACCTTTCTAATTCTAGCCAAGGATATGGTTGTGCATCATTGACTTCACTTGGCCAGGCGCCATTTTGTATTTCATTTTATTTGTTTGTCATTTATGCCACACACACATATATCTACTATATATACGTTTGTATAGAGGGAGTGCTGGCACAATACAATATATTATTTATTTGCCCCCAGACCACCACCACCACCACCACCACCACCACCATCACCGCCGCACACATTTGAACTATGAAATAACCACGGGAATGTTTGCCATTTCGTGGTCAATATACGGCATGACCCACATGAAGCTGGACTGAAAAGGATGTGGCCAAGGAAGCAAAGGATTGCTCAGGTGTGGTCAAGTTGTTTGGCCAATATTTATTTACAGAGCCCTACTATATGTATGTGTGTCTGACAGCAGCTCAAGGCTGTTCAATTAGTTGGTTGAATAGATGTTTTTGGCGACTTTATGTGTGGCCTTCAACAAGGTTTACTTTGTGGTTCTACCTCTCCCTTCGATACATCAATCACTGGCAATTAATTATTCAATTTGGTATTTTCGAAAAGGGAAACGACAAAAAGCGCAACAGCTGACAACAAAGATAAGTCACAAAATTGTGGTTTTTCATTCAGTTTTCCCTTTTTTTTTTCACCAGAATATGTATGACCAAAGTCAACACAGAAAGGAGGTCCAGGCACAAATCACAAAAGTGCAACAAAATTCCGTCTCTGTGTGTGTGTTTTCTAATATAAATCAATCATACGACATGTGTGACACATCAAGCACAAAGCAAATAAACCCAAATATTGGTCTAGGCCGGGAGATTTTGCACAGCCGAAAAAGTCTTTCCTGGATACCTTATAAAAGAAGGTTATATATGTTTTAAAGCTAAGATAGATATTTCTGAAATACCGGTTTTAAGATTAATTTTATTTTCATTTAACAAATTTATCAAAACTATAATTGCATTAAAACTGACTAGTAATTGGTATATTCTGTATTCTAATATAAATTTAAAATATTTAAAAATAAGATATCCTTTTTAAACAAACTCTAATATATATTTCCTTAACTATTTAATCTTCTTGAACCCATTTTCTTTTGTCATCATATATATATCCCAGAAAAACGAAAACTATTTCTGAGCTAAAAAGCTCTGTCAGACCGAAAAAGCTGATTCTGGCTGCCCTTCCGACTGACTGACAAACTGCAATGCGATTGCCAGCTCAGCAGATGCGTCCAAACACACAAAAGTACACTCACTCACATACACAGCAACCAAAACACACTCCCCCTGCTATTTGCAACCCACTCAAGCCATTCTGTTTCGCTGCTCCGTTCTATTTGCAAGGAAAACATTTATGTAAAGTTTATATTATTAGAATTGCATGAAGAGAGAGAGCATTGTGTATGCCGTGAGTGTCTTCGTCTGTCTGTGCGATTGTCTGTCCTTATAAGTCTGTGTTTGTTTTATAACGACTACGAAAACGACATTTGCCAATATGTTTTTAAGGAAAATGGAGAAGATGGCCAAAGAGCTAGAGCTATGCTGCAGATCGTTAGACTGCGTCTTTCAATTTGTGTGTGCTGTGAGCGAGTGCTTTTTGTGTCTCCGTTTGGAAAGACGATTGAATTGGCATTTTGGTCGGACAGGCTTGCTTTCTGCATTTGCCAATTTGTGTGTGAGTATATATGTGTCCTTCTTGTAGCTCTTTTCCTTTTACTTTAGGCCCTTCTTGCCTTTGATTGCTTTGGCAGGAGGTAAAGGGCTGACTGGTTTAAGCAAGGAATTGCATTCAATAAATTATAACTCAGCTATAACTTTTGAGAGATTTTTGAGAAAGAAAAATAAATAAAAAATATAAATATCTTCCTATTCCCTTCTTTACTTCTATATATCCTAATTTTCCAGGCAGAGCACATTACTTTACCGGGCACTGTACAATCTGTGTTCATCAGGTCGCATCGCCATATTTACCAAATCTCCTTTGGGCTCATTTCCATTTACGTGATATCCCCCCTGAAAAATCCCCAACCGCAGGCGTAGCCCAACGGAACTATCTGCAAAATTATTACCATTCAACTTTCCTGCTCGGATTTCCATAACAAACATCAACCTGGGATGATATTTTGTAGTATTTGTTGCCATTTTTATTCGCTCCTATTTTTTGTGTGTTTAGGTTTTTTTGGGGGGAAGGGAGGCAGGCTTTGCTGGCTGGATCCACGCTGTGCAAAATATACATATATATATCGATATGGCCGAAAACAGTGCTCTAGTTTGCAGGATGTGCATAGCCCACAAAAGCCCCCCAAAGTCCCCGCTCCAATGAGAGTCCCCTGGCAAAAGCCATGGCTAACGTTACCTGAGTTTGGTTTCAGTTCGTTTCGGTTCGGTTTGGGGCCAGCAAAATATGTGGCCAATTATAGCAAAAACAGACGTTTTTATGTTACAGTCCCTTCGCCTGCTCTTTGCTCTTTTCCCTCTCCGGTTACAACTAATTTATGACTCCCAGCTAAGAGCTAGGATTTTCCGGTACGTTTTGGATATATATCCTCTTTTTTTTGGCTGCCTTCTTGTTCCTAATCATTGGCCGTAATTCAGTTGCCTTGCTTTAGGCCATAAAAGGTTGGTTTAATGATTTTACAATCGCCACAAACAAATATATTACGCATACGCAAGGTTGGCTAAAGAAAAATGTTTAATCTGGAAGTATTAAATTGAATTCACTTTAATCTGATAAATTAAGCGTTAAAATATATTTTAAATAAATTCTTTGATGCCTAATACATTCTGTTCATGAAATCATTCCCTAGATTAGCTTTTACTCCATTAAAACTTGCTTATAAAGTTTCTAAATCACTGAAAACAAATATATTACGCATACGCAGTGATGGCCGTGGCACATCTTTCACTTGAACAATTTTTGAAAATAAACTTTCTGCTGGCAAATATCTACTATTGACTCAAATTCTCTCTGCAAAATCCATTTCATTATGCAAAGTGTCACCGCTTATTGTTCCGTTCGCGCAACTTTGTTTACATACACCATCATTTTCTGGTGGCATCCACAAAATAATTTCATGGTTTATATTCATCTTGGCAGCTCATCAAGGAGCAGAGAGATAGTTGAACAAGCCATTTATCCTCTGGGTAAAAATGTTTCCCATTGCCATCGTCGAGCTTAAAATTCAAATCTAATTCCTTACAATTTTTTTTTTTTCTCCTGCTTCTTGGTCTTTTCACAAATATTTGCCTTCAATGTTGAATAAGGCTGAGATTGCAGAGAGAACAAGAGAAAATATTTTGACATTTTCGGCGGTCCCCATTTTAGGTATATTCTTTTTATGTGCTTCCCTCCTATTCCCACTCGTTGTTTTTGAATGGTTCCTTTGTTAGACGTGACTTTTTGATATTTGGCTTTAATAAAATGACATTCTTAAAAATGTTATAATTTGTTTTAGCTGCGATTTCTTGAATATTTTAGAAATTCAATAAAAATTGCATTTAAAACATTTATTTAAATTGTTATTCTTAGCATTTAAATCTCGTTTAACTACTTTTGAAATCTCTGCCACTATAATTGTTTTTAAAAGATAATTTTCTCTTTTTATATACACATTTTCTTCATTTTCTTTTCTGCCTGTCATAGACACTCCTGGATAAAATCATTTATCATTTGTCATCATTTTGCCTTTTGTTTTCTTGATGTTCCTTCGGACCTTCTTATCCGCCTAACAGCCTGCCTGTCCTGTCCTAAACAAATAACTTTTCGATGGCTTTGACTAAAAAGTTATTCATTCATTTGAACCCAGTCCAAGATTCAGTCTGAGGCATAAATTAAGACTTACAGTTGATGAGGAGGAGGCAGCAGCGAGGGGTGAGTCCAGGATAACACTTCAGACTTCAGACCGACTTCAGACTAGAACAAGATACATAAAAGAAAATTTGTATATGAGAAAAAGTTTTCCGACATACCAAGAGGGGGGTAAGTGAGGAGAGGACAGACTCAATTAGTTTTATTTGGGGAAAGGCAGACTTTCCAGCCTGCCCCCAGGCCCCGGCAGGCTTGCCAAAATTTCCAGCAAGCCAAATGTTTATTTTCATTTGAGATTTGCCAGATATGTACGTTTCGCTGGAAATTAACGCTAACATTCCATTGTTTAATCGTGTCTATCAAAGTAGTTTACACATAATTCCGTGTGTACTCTTGGCTTTGGTCTGCGATTTGTTGCCTACTTTTGTGTGTGCACGTCGCCATTTCACTATGGGGTTTTTGACCAGTTTTTGTGGCATTAATTAATAACTCGGTCAGTTTTGGAGATATCGACATGAAACTTTACCAATCATCATTATTTGTCCCTAGGCACATATAGTATGAAAATCGTTCGGATCAGGAAACTATATCCTATAGCTCCCATAGGAACGATCGGGTAAAAGTAAAGATAAATTAATGAAATTTAAGGAGCTTATATTTGTTGCTAGTTTAACACGATATAGCAATTTTGAACAAAATCGGACAACGCTTTCTCTAGGAACCAAAATAACCAAAATACCGGAAATCAGTGTTTTTCCATACAAACAGCTACCAAATTGGCTCTGAAAACAGTGAGGTTATCTGAGAAAAATTCAAATTGCAACAAAAGTGCGGAAAAGTGCACGATAAGACTAACTGCTTTTTGGTCAGAATTGACAACGCTACAACATACACTTGGACGCATTGAAAACTAATGCGAACTTCTATTTCAAAACTCTTCCCAAAGTTTAAATTTGTTTCTCAAAATTCAGCTTAAGGTGCATTTATAAAACGACAAAATGTCAGTATAAACACGCACAATTTAAACAATTAATACCTTTAACATGTAGTTAAAACCTGTGAAATCAGTGTCCATTAGTTTTTTCCTTTGCAAATTGTGTCTTACACGAATAGTTTAATTTCAAAGATCACTTCGTAAAAATTACAAACTAGGCAGACGCGCTTTCGGATGCAACAGCTGACTTTACAGCTCTGTTGCTAACATATGCTGTTAAGTATTAACATTTTGAGTATGAGGCATAACAGTTCGATGTTTTGTTAATACAATCCCACTATTTTTTTTTAAATTTAAGAACTTTTAAAAAATGATTAAATGCCACAAAAAGTGGTCAAAAACCCCATAGTGCATTTGGGACCAAAAAAACTTTCTGTGGGTGGAAAACTTTCAAGGGGGCAAAACTACTAAAAAAAACAGTACATTTAAAGTGAAATCGACCCCACGAAAAAATGCAATAAAAAGAACGGTGCGCCAAAAGGGCAAAGTTCATGCAGGAAAAAAATATAAAAAAATAAAGTCAATTTCCATCGATATATAGTCAACTGCAGTGAAGGTCTATAGAATGGAAAATAGTATCGTTGGAAGGCTCAAGTCCACAAAGGGACAAGACGTGACAGCAGAAATCGAAAACCAAAACCAAATCAAATACATGAGTTGCAGTTTTCACTCTTTTTTTTCTCTCTCCTTGGCATTCCTCAGTCAATCTGCCGGGGAAAACTCTGCACTTGGGGAAACTTGGCTAGCCGGATTTTTCACACCCAATAAGCTGCCAGGCGCTTAGAATTCTAATGCAAGGCATAAACAACAAACGGAATCTGCTTATAAACATGGGGATAAGTAGCAGACATTTCAAAACGACTTTTAAATGTTCTAACAAAAAGAATTCAAGGTAAAGTAAAGTAATGGAGTTTGAGAAAACAAACATTTGCTAGGAAAATGTCTGAACTGTCTTAAAATATAACAACTTCCTCATTTTCTGTATACAGAGGGATTCTAAAATCACTATATTTAGCGACACCAATTCTTAAAAAATAGACCATAGTAGATTCAATATTTCATATCCTTTTCTCTTTTATTTGTACATTTAATATTTAATTATGGTTATTTTCTCTATAGAAATTTCTTATATAACCAAAAATTCACAATACCCTTTGGGCATCACTTGTAAAAATTGCACAAGTCTACTGCCAGGTTTGTTTTTATTTGCAGCATAAAGTGAAATCCTTTGGCCAAAAGGTGTTGCCCGCAACCGGAACGCGGCAGACAGACAGACAGAGAAGATCTAGGACCAGGGCTAAGATGGAGAGCCAGGCAGTCACCCCAAGCTTAGTGCTGCCCACTCAGCTATATTTCCTTTTCATATACACATTAAGTTAGGCTATGTGAGAAATTTTCAGAAGAACGACAATCTAAATTATTATTACCCTTTAAATTTGTTCAAAGTTAAAGTTAAATAAAAAGTTAAATTTATATCTTAGATTTTGAAATCAATCTCTAAGAAAATTGTATATATTTCTTAGAAATTTTTAAAGTTATCCCGCCATCACTAAGCCAAGCCCAGTAACCTCAAACCCTCTTTTCTACTTGGGCTCATTGTTGACTTTGCCGTCTTGGCTGTTAGATGTATGTATGTCAAGTGGTGGCCCCTTGGCCACATTTCTCCACTTTTTCCCCGATTTCCCGGCTTTTCTCGGTCCGCTTTTGCCCACCTGACAGTTGGCATTCATTTGGATCATCTTGCGGCAGGTCAGAGGCAAATTGTTGAAGTTGGCTCTGTGCGTGGTTAAGTCCTTGTCGATGGGCTTAAATAAACAGATTCAGAGAGAGAGATAGCGAAGGAGAGATAGAAAGAGAGGCATACACAGCAGAAGGCTCAAGGAAATGTCAAAATGCTTTAAAAATGATTTAATTACTGCTAATTGCTGGCTCTGCTAATTAGATTCAAAGGCTTTAACCAGGCCCATTTGCTTCTACAAACATATGCATATCTGAGATGCATTACTAAGACATTGATTGGCATTGAAGATATGCAATGTAAGCACCCCCATTTCATTGGGATTTCAGTGGAGAGAGATGACACTAAGTCGCAATCAGTTAATGATTGACAAGGTAATTTGCAAACAAGACTTGACAAACGCAAAGGCAATAACTAATTAGTAATATAAAATCAAGCTTAGAACAGTAAGTACCCATAAACTTGAAAGTTAATTACTGGGAAATACTCGGAATAATAAGACAACAAATTTAAACTCGAATCCACATTAACTTTACTTAATATTTTCTTTTTCAAATATTGTTACGTAAAGTAAATATTTTACTAGAATTCCTAACATAAATCATTCTATTCCCCACTCTTTTAAAATATTTCACAATGCACTTTGCCGCATTAACGAAACCAGAGCATTCACCTGGAGCCCCAAAATACCCTGAAAAGACAAGCCACCCACAGAAAACGATGACAGGAGAAGACACCCAAGGTAATCTAATAAATGTGACAGTCAGTTCATATGGCAGCGTGTGGAAAACAATAAATCTCCATTAGGTTGAGCTGGCTTTCATTAACGGATTTCACGAAACTAAAACAGGATATATGCACGTTATATTTCCTGGCATATACACTAATACACTGCCGGTTGTGTGTCCCGTATTTGCTTCATGCACCTGTCATGAAAATATTTGCGCAAAATATTTTAAGCCGCACTTTGACAAAGGACTTGGCCCAAAACAACACCAACAACAGGACCCGACGTCCATCGAACGACCTCCACGTTTAACGTAAATATGACAGGGATTTGTTATCGCTGCAGATAGTGGGGATATGCGGCTTATATATGTATATATATTTTCCATTTTCCCTGGCACTGTTATGTTATTGTATAAACAAATAACTGAAGCGTTCCGGTAAACGGATTACGTGGCAAAGTGTTCACGGGAGGCGGATAGGAATTTGCGAATATTTTTGCGGTCTACTTTCGTGGCTACGGTTTTGTGTTGTGGCTAAAAAAAAAAATAAATTCGTGGTAATGTTCGAGAGTAAAATGTAAACTAATTGCTGTTTGCGGTCCTAAATTATGATGGGTTAAGTGTGGTTATCAGGGCTTTGATAGGTTATAGGATAAGCGCATATGATTGATTTTAATTAAATCAAAGTGCAATACAGAAACTAAATTAAATCTGTGTAATTGATGTGCTTATTGAACGAAATTATTTATAATTTAAAAGTAAATGTAGTGAGAAATAAATTTATAACAATTTAGTTTGTATTTTTCATATTCTAAATCATTATCTAATTGTATATAGATATTACCCTTGAATCAGTCTATAAAATCCTGGTAATCCTCATATTTATAAACCTTAAAAAACACCCCCCGAAACCTGTTTAAATAAGTTCCTTCAACTTTGACCCAATTGAACCAAAAATAAACGCCCCTCGGGTCAATCCTTACAATCCCCGACCAGACACACTGACCCACCGGCATAAAACCCGCAAATTTCGAAGCCACGCAGCAGACCAACCTCAAGGGGTAAATGCGCAATTGACAAGCAAATTGACAATTCACTTAATTCCGGGCCAAGGAGAGTGGGAAAATAATTCTTAAAACACAATAAACCGACTGCAGTTGACAGAACCGGGCGGGGGTCAGAGGATAAAGATGAAATTGCAGACACAAGAGGATTAAAGGGTTGTTCCAGTTCCTTCCTCATGAATTATGCAAAAAGCCGCAAAAGCCGAAAACAAGCAAAAACAATTAAGTGGGCCTGACCGGGGGGTGATGTCGGTGCTCTGTTAGCTGTGTTAGCCTGTCCTTTTGTGTGCCAATAATTGTATGATTGACAAGCGATTGAGTATTTGGTCCCGCCGCAAAAGCCTGCGAGGCAGTTTAGAGCCAAGTGCTGCCACGCCCATATACATATGTAAAATAATACAAACCTGAAACGGCAGCAACACCATAGTTCGTTGGTTCAAATGTCAGTGGTTTGGGGGACGACGCCTGTCATGCCAAAGGGGGGCACTGCCTGATGTGTGTTTGGTAATTACGCTCACACATGGCCACATGCATGCTAATTTCAACCGACCCCAGGAATCAGGAATCAGTCGCAAAACCCC